ACTAAAAGATTTACAACAGGGAACCAGCGAGGTTAATCTGTAAATGACAACAACTTCAGAACAATAAAAGAGGGAATAAACAGTGTAGGTATAGAACTTTCAAATGGAGAGGAAGTCAAGGCGATACCAAGTAATAAAAGACTGGTTCAAGCTTAGGAAGATAAGGGTAAATTTCAAGTTAACCACAAACAAAGTTAACAAATCTACTCATCAAAATAAAGAAGAAAAACATAAAGTCACAGTAAACACAAAATCTACAAAAATGAAAGAAATGAGAAAAAATTCCACAAACAAAAGGAATTCAGCACAGGAGAGGAAGAGGAAGAAAGAAAATGTCAGCACCACAAAAAACAAAACAAAACAGAAAAAACACTACAAAATGACAGCAATAAGCTCACATCTATCAGTAATTACACTGAACATAAATGGCCTAAATGCACCCATAAAGAGGTGGAGAGTGACAGAATGGATAAAAAAACAGGACCCATCAATATGCTGTCTACAAGAGACACGTCTTAGAAACAAACACATAAATTTATTAAAAATCAAAGGATGGAAAAATATATGAAGCAAACAACTACCTAAAAAGAGCAGGAGTGGCAATACTAATCTCAGATAACATAGACTTTAAAACAAAATCCACCATAAAAGACAAAGAAGGGCATTATATAATGATTAAAGGGACAATCGGTCATGAAGACATAACCATAATAAATATCTACACACCCAATGACAGGGCTCCAAAATACATAAAATAAACTGTAACAGCACTGAAAAGAGAAACTGACAATTCCACAATAATAGTAGGAGACTTCAACACACCATTCTCAGTAAAGGACAGAACATCTAGAAAGAAACAGCAGAGATACAGAAGATCTTTCAGCCAATTTAACCTGAAAAACATAAATAGAACACTCCACCCAACAGCTGCAAAGTACACATTCCTTTCCTAACGCACTTGGAACATTCTCCAAAATAGACCACATCTTAGGCCACAGAGCAACCCTCAACAAAATCCAAAACATTGAGATAATACAAAGTATCTTCTCTGATCACAACGCCATCAAAGTAGAAATTAACAACAGGAAGAGCAAGGAAAAAAAATCAAATGCATGAAAACTGAATAACACCATGCTTTAAAACCACTGTGTAATAGAAGAGATCAAAGAAGGAATAAAAAAATTCCTAAAATCAAATGAGAATGAAAACACATCATACCAAAACCTTTGGGACACAGCAAAGGCAGTACTCAGAGGTCAATTTATAGCAGTAGATGCACACATCAAAAAAGAAGAAAATCTTTCACTTAAAGCACAATTTAAAGAAGAATAAGAAAGGGACAAAATCAAATCATAAGCTACACAACTTCAACAGATAGAAAGAGAACAGCAAAAGAAGCCCACAGCCACCAGAAGGAAGGAAATAATGAAGATCAGAGCAGAAATAAATAAAATAGAGAATAGAAAAACAATAGAAAGAATCAACAAAACCAAAAGTTGCTTCTTTGAAAGGATCAACAAATCACAGACCATCGGCCAAATTGACAAAAGAAAAACAGGAGAGGATGCAAATAACCCAAATAAGAAATGAAATGGGGGACATTACAACAGACCCAATTGAAATAAAAAGGATCATAACAGAGTACTATGAAAAACTATACTCCAACAAATTTGAAAACCTAGAGGAAATGGACGAATTTCTAGAAACACAATACCTACCCAAACTAACACAAACTGAAGTTGAAAATTTGAACAGACCCATAATGAGAGAAGAGATTGAAAAGATAATTTAAAAAAATTAAAAAAAAACCCTGGAGACTTCTACCAAATATTCAGAGAAGAGCTTACAGCAGTACTACTCAAATTATTTCAGAACACAGAAAAGGAAGGGATACTCAAATTCATGCTATAAAGCTGGCACAACCCTAATACCAAAACCAGGCAAAGACACCACAAAAAAAGAAAATTACAGACCAATATCTCTCATGCATATAGATGCAAAAATTCTCAACAAAATTCTAGCCAATAGAATTCAACATCATATCAAAAAAATAATACACCACAACCAAGCGGAATTCATACCAGGCATGCAAGGATGGTTCAACATTAGAAAATCAACCAATGTAATCCACCACATAAAAGAATCATATGATCATCTCAATTGACACAGAAAATAAATTTGAGAGTCCAACACTCATTTCTGATAAAAGCACTGAATAAAGCAGGTATAGAAGGGAAATTCCTCAGCATAATAAATGGCAAAATCAACAGCCAACATCATTCTTAATGGAGAGAGGCTGAAAACATTCCCCCTGAGAACAGGAACAAGACAGGGATACCCTTTATCACCATTCCTATTTAACATTGTGCTGGAAGTCCTAACTAGAGTAGTAAGGCAAGAAAAGGAAATAAAAGGCACCCAAATTGGTAGCGAAGAAATAAAACTGTCCCTATTTGCAGATGATATGATACTATACATAGAAAACCCAAAAGACTCCATGAGAAAACTTCTGGAACTAATAGGTTCAGCAGAGTAGCAGGGTGTAAGGTAAACATACAAAAATCAGTTGGATTCCTATACACCCATCAGGAGAACAATGAAAAGGAAATCAGGAAAACAATACCATTTATAATAGCCCATAAAAAAATAAAATACTTAGGAATAAATCTAACAAGGGATGTAAAAGATCTATACAAAGAAAACTACAAAACACTACTGCAAGAAACCAAAAGAGAACTACATAAATAGAAAAACATACCATGCTCATGGATAGGTAGACTCAACGTTCTAAAAATGTCAATTCTACCCAAAGCAGTCTACAAATACAATGCAATCCCAATCCAAATACCAACAGCATTCTTTAATGAGATGGAAAAACTAATCATTAATTTTATATGGAAAGGGAAGAGGGCCCAGATAAGTAAAGCACTATTAAGAAGAAGAAAGTAGAAGGACTTGCATACCTGACCTCAGAACCTACTATTCAGCTATAGTAGTCAAAACAGCCTGGTACTGCTACAACAACAGATACATTGACCAATGGAACGGAATTGAGAACCCAGATGTAAATCCATCCTCCTACAGTCACCTGATCTTCAACGAGGGTCCAAAATCCATCAAATGTGGAAAAGACAATCTTTTTAACAAATGGTGCTGGCAAAACTGGATGTCCATCTGCAAAAAAATGAAACAGGACCCATACCTCACACTATACACAAAAACTAATTCAAAATGGATCAAAGACCTAAATATAAAACCAACAACTATAAAGATCATAGAAGAAAAAATAGGATCAACACTAGAGGCCTGAATACACGGCATTAAGGATACAAACTGTAACTAACAGCACAAAAACTCCAGAAGATAAGCTAGATAACTGGGATCTTCTAAAAATTAAACATTTATGCTCATCAAAAGACTTCACCAAAAGAGTAGAAAGAGAAGTTACAGACTGGGAAAAAATTTTTGGCTATGGCAACTCCAACAAAGGTCTAATCTCTAAAATCTACAGGAAAATCCAACACTTCTACAACAAAAAGACAAATAATCCAATTTAAAAACGGGCAAAGGAAATGAACAGACACTTCACCAAAGAAGACATTCAAGCGGCTAACAGACACATGAAGAAACGCTTACAATCACTAGCCATTAGAGAAATGCAAATCAAAACCACAATGAGCTACCATCTCACCCTGGCATTACTGGCACAAATCCAAAAAACAGAAAATAACAAATGTTGGAGAGGTTTCGGGGAGATTGGCACTCTTATACACTGCTGGTGGGAATGCAAAATGGTACAACCATTTTGGAAAATGATATGGCACTTCCTTAGAAAGCTAGAAATAGAAATACCATATGATCCAGCAGTCCCACTCCTAGGAATATATCCTAGAGAAATAAGATATATACACACCCATGTTCATTGCAGCATTGTTCACAATAGCAAAAAGATTGAAACAACCTAGATGCCCATCAACAGATGAATGGATAAACAAATTATGGTACACACGGAATACTACACAACAATAAAGAAGAATGATGAATCTGGGAAGCATCTCACAACATGGATGAATCTGGAGGGCATTATGCTGAGTGAAATAAGTTAATCACAAAAGGACAAATATTGTATGAGACCACTATTATAAAAACTCATGAAAAGGTTTACACACAAAAAGAAGCAATTTTTGATGGTTACGGGGCAGGGAGGGGTGGGATGGAAAAACACTGAATAGACAATAGATAAACGGTAACTTTGGTGAAGGGTAAGACAGCACACAATACTGGGGAAACCAGCACAATTTGTCCAAGGCAAGGTCATGGAAGCTCCATAGACACATCCAGACTCCCTGAGGGACCATTACTGGGCTGAGGGCTGTGGGGACCATGGTCTCAGGGAACATTTAGCTTAATTGTCATAACATAGTTTATAAAGAAAATGTTCTACATTCTACTTTGGTGAGTTCAGTCTGGGGTCTTAAAAGCTTGTGAGCAGCCATCTAAGATATTCCATTGGTCTCACCCTATCTGGAGCAAGGGAGGATGAAGAAAACCAGAGACACAAGGGATTAGTCCAAACGACTAATGGATCACAAGTACTACAGCCTCCACCAGACTGAGTCCAGCATAACTAGATGGTGCCCGGCTACCGACGGCTCTGACAAGGATCAAATTAGAGGGTCCTAGACAGTACTGGAAAAAAATGAACAAAATTCTAACTCACACACACACACACACACACACACACAAAAAAAAAAAACACTTATTGGTCTGATAGAGACTGGAGAAACCCCAAGAGTATGGTCCCCGGGCACCCTTTTAACTCGGTAATGAAGTCACTCCAGAGGTTCACCCTTTAGCCAAAGATTAGACAGACCCATAAAACAAAATGAGAGACTAAATGGGCACATCAGCCCAGGGACAAGGACGAGAAGGCAGGAGGGGACAGGAAAGCTGGTAATGGGGAACCCAAGGTCGAGAAGGGGAGAGTGTTGACATGTCCTGGGGTTGACAACAAATGTCACCAAACAATATGTGTACTAACTGTTTAATACGAAGCTATTTTGCTTTGTAAACCTTCATCTAAAGTACAAAAAAGAAAAGTGTCCTTCTCATATTGAGTTTAACGAGATGCTATTTTCCCCTCATTTGCTATTTAGAATGCTCTGTTGTATAGTTTAACAGTCTGCACCATTAAAGGTTATCAAATGCCAAAAAACAAAAAACAAAAAAACAAACTGTGTTAAGTCATGTTGATAGTGTATACCTTGATCTGATATGATGAGAATGACCATTTACTTTCGTGGTCTTCCTCCCAACAACCCGTAACTCCAGTCTAATCACGAGAAAAACATCAAACAAATCCCAATCGAGAGACATTCTGCAAAGTACCTGACCAGTACTCCTCACACTGTTAAAAGTTATCAAAAACAAGAAAATCTGAGAAACTGTCACCAGCAAGAGGATCCTAAAGAGATATAACCAGTAAATGTAATGTGGTATCCTGATAGGATTTGGGAACAGAGAAAGGAAGGAAATCAGAATAAAATATTAGTTAATAATAATATATCAATATTGATTCATTAATTGTGACAAAGTTACCATACTAATATGAGATGTTAATAATAGGGAAACTGGGTGTGAGGTATATGAGAACTCTTTGTACTATCTTTGCAACTTTTCTGTAAATCTAAAATTATTCTAAAGTAAATAAAATAACTTTAAAAATCAGCCAAATGCATTTGTTCTGAAAACTTCCAATTAAAACTAATGGCTGCTCTCCTTAAAAACAAAAAGAAAATAAAAACAGGGCTCTGTGACTCTCTGGTTTCTGAGTTGGGTGACCATTATCAGGACCACAAAGTCAGCCCCGGTTCTCCCCATCCTTTCATTCATTCGTCTATGAGGCAGAGCAGAGAAGGTGGGTTGCCTAGGAAGGAAGGACTACAACTCCCAGAGTGCCCCAGTGTGGTTGTCAGCAGCAACCAAGGAATGCAGACTAACAGCCCAGCTGGAGTCTGAGGGACTATTCATCTACTGCCTGCCAGCCAGCCAGCCATGGGCCAAGATTATTACACCGTGCTCCAGATCACTCGAAATTCAGAAGATGCCCAGATCAAGAAGGCGTAAGTCGGGGTGGCGGCCAGGCTTTGGGATGTGCCCGTGCAGGCCCTGCCCTCATCTCTTCCTTACAGAGCTTTCCTGCATAGCTCAGGGTAGGCAAGGCAAACTTTGTTCCTTCTCTTGCTTCTTGCACATCTATTTACTGGCTTTGGGCTGGGCCAGGGTCCAGGCTGGAAATTTGGACACCTTAGTTCCTCAATCTGTTCTCAAGCCATCAACCTTTACCCTGTATGCCCTGGCTTCTCTCCTGGGTACTTCAGTTTTCCTGGCAATGAAATGAGGACAAAAGAGACATTTGAACTTTATCCTCAATATTCTGGAGAACTAAAGAATTTTGAGCAGGGAGTGAATTGGCCAGATGGGTGTGTGATACATTTCATTCTTGCCATCCTATGGGCTTGGGGCATTGAATAAACTGCATCTCTAAATATGTCCATCAAGTCTTGGGGACTTTGTAGTCCATTCCTAAGAAAGTCTAGGACAGAAGTCAGCAAGTTTTTTCTGAAAATTTGTTTTTTTAAACAAACATTTATTGAGCACCTATCGTATGGCTAGACACAGTGTTAGCAGCTAGAGATATAATTGTGAACCAGACAGATGTGGTCCCTTACCTCATGCAACTTTACTTTTTTGGTGAGTACAGCTGTTGAGTAAGTCACCACAACTGTGATGAGTGTTAGGAAAGGGGAAGTGCAGAGTGTTGTGGAAGCTTATATCAGAGGAAGAAGGACCCCTTGGGAGGCTGTCCTGGTAATCCAGGCAAAAGGTGAGGCTTGATGTAGGACAATAGGGTGAAGAGAGGAGGGAGAATAGACTTGGCAATTAATTGGATCATTGAAGGGTAATGAAAAAGGAAGGAATCTGGGATAACTCAATCAGTCGAGTTTGGGTAGTGATAAAACCCATTGCCATCGAGTGGATTCCGACTCATAGTGACCCTGTAGGACAGAGTAGAACTGCCTGCCCCATAGGGTTTCCAAGGAACAGCTGGTGGATTTGAACCACAGACCTTTTGGTTAGCAGCTGAGCTCTTAACCACTGTGCCACCAGGGCTCCAAAATTCTGGGGTATTTACACTGCGGGAGCCCTGGTGGCGCAGTGGTTAAACGCTCCACTGCTAACCAAAAGGTCGGCAGTTCAAACCCACTAGCAACTCTGCGAAAGAAAGCTGTGGCAGTCTGCTTCTGTAAAGATGAACCCGTTGCCGTAGAGTCAATTCCAACTCATAGCTACATATATTGAATGTGTAGGTGTTGTTCTGAGCACCTTCGATCATTATTTCTTCTAATCCTCACAACAATCCAGAGAGGTAGACGCCATTATTGTCCCAAGGCCACTCACCTAGCAGATGGCAGAGCCAGTAGTCAGACACCATACCTACTATAATTGCCTACCATAGGCTCAGCCCTGAGCCAGGTCCTATGGGGAATCTAAGTGGGGAAAATGAAGAGAGTCTACAATGTGTTTGAAGAAATGACAAACTCATAAAACAATTAGAGAACAGTTCAGGACAATGTATGATGCCACTCACTGTTCAGGGCATTTTATTGGCCATTGGGACCCATCTAGGAAAAGGTCACCAGAAGGGAGGGCAGCTGTCCTGCAGGAAGGTAAGCTTGATCACTGGAAATTTGTTGTTGTGTGCCGTTGAGTTAGTTCTGACTCATAACAACCCTATATGACAGAGTAGGACTGCCCCGTAGGGTTTTCTAGGCTGTAATCTTTACGGAGGAGCCCCATTGGTGCAGTGGTTAAGTGCTCAGCTGCTAACCGAAAGGTCGATGGTTTGAACCCACTAGCTGCTCCTTGGAAGAAAGATGTGGCAGTTTGCTTCTGTCAATAGATGTCCTAGACCTCTGGCTTCCTGATGCATCCTGCTAAAGGGGAGCTCAGGGCAGGAGACTGGAGGGAAGGAGGAGAGTGGGGCTGGGGAATTTATTCCCAGCTCTCTTCCTGTGGTGTATCTTTGGGTTGGTTGTGTCCCTTAACTGAAGATCACAGCTCCTCCCAAAGTGCCTGTCCATACACTCTTTCCTGGGTTTCAGTAACACTCCCTCCCCTCACGCCTATAGGTTCAGGAGCAGTAGGGGTTCCTCAGTGCTACAGCTTCAGGGTATTACACTATCATTTGTGGTTTCCTTCCGCCCTACCCACACATTGGTGAATGGCCCAGTATTACCCAGAATTACTAAATCCATGCTATCTTTCTTCCTGGGACACTGATGATACAGATATCAGATGCTGCAGGCGTTGCTGCACTGAGTGGTGGGAGCGGACAGATATAGAAGTGAAAAAAAGAATGAGCTAGAGCCGGAAGACAAGGCAAAAGGACCTAACATTCACTGAGTGCCTCTTTGTACCAGGCCCTTTGTACACCTTATTTGATCTAATCCTCCCAAGAAGTCTGTCAGTTCGGGTCCTCTGAGAAGCAGACACCACAATAGGATTAGATGTGCAAGAATTGGATTGGGCGAAACACCTGTGAAGGGGCAGGGAGAGGGAACAGGGTATGCAGGGAGTGCTTCAGACCACAGTGTAGGTCTGACACCTATGAAGAGAGATAGGGAAGGAAAGATGGGGCAGGAATTGCTGCAGCGTGGTTCTGGGAAAATCTCAAGCCAGGCTTGCGGAGAGTCCTCAAGCAGAGGTTGCTTGTTGGAGGAGTCCTTTGTCCCATAGTAATGGGCCAGTCCTAATATTCCTACCATGCTTAGTCATTGATTGGGAGCAGCTTGGGGGAAGTAGAGCCTTAGCACAGATGCCCAGAGTGGCTGCAGCTGGGCTGTCATTCAACTACGCTCCCCACGTCAGGTTCTCTTCAAGATCTGAACATTGCACCTCCATAGCCATCACAGCCTGTGAGGTCAGGGTTGTCATCCCTGATTTGCACCTGGGAACGTCAAAGCTCAGGGGGTCCACTAATGTAGACAGCACAGCCAGATCTGAACCATGGTCCACCCCTTAAAAACAGGTCAACTGTTATGACTTGTATTATTCCTCCTCCTTCTAGGTACCGGAAACTTGCTCTTCAGAACCACCCCCTGAGGTCAGTTGAGCCAGCTTCAGCGGAGATATTCAGGCAAATAGCAGAGGCCTACGATGTGCTGAGTGACCGTGAGTGACTGGGGGGCTGAGGGTGGAGGAGTCACTCCAGGAGACCTTCTGTCACCCACCTCTCAATTAAGATCATTCCTTAAGTTTCTGAAGTGTTGGTTTTTCTAAGAGGGCCCAACAGAGAGTAAGCATTCCTCTTCCCTGCCCAGAATCTAAACACACTGAGAAAGAAAACAGGATAAAGAATTGCCTTTAGCAGTAAACACAAGTTAAGGCGGAGGACATGGCAGTACATGGACGCCCCAGGATCAGGCTGATTTACTCCCCAGTCACGGCAGTGCAAGACTTGGAGGGGGCATTGCTCCCCTACATACACCACATCACACCCATTCCCTGCAGGGACAGAGCTTTCCCCTGGAGGAGCAGAGTGAGATGCCTGCTGCCAAGGTGAAGGAGGCTGAAGTTGAGGCAAGCATGCCCAGTTATTCTCCCCAAATTTACCAAGTAGCTAAGTCTCCACCTCGTCAAGGACAAAATGAGTAAAGGGGCAGAGAGAGACCAGGAGTAATTAGGAAATGTCTCTCCTGTGGAAACCAGAAGAGTGAGGAAAGGGTGATTCCCCTGCCCCAACACAGGGTGATGCCCATGTGGGTTTCTCTAAGGGCTTGTTCCGGAGACTGTACTCATGGATACTGTGTAGAAGAATGGCTAGATCAGCAAGATCTCTCCAGCCCTGAATTTTCAAGACTTCAGAGTCCTTAGACTCTAGGATTTCAAGGCTCGAGACTCTGGAGGCTCTACAATAGTTAGATTCCAAGATTCTAGGATGCTGTTTATCCTAGATAATAAAGTAGCTATGCTGGCTTGAGTTCAGCCAAATCCCAGTACTGTAGCCTGACTTTCAGTCTGTCATCTCTAATCTGCTACCCCATCCCCAGCAAGTCAAGTCTTTCCCACCCTCTTTTGGGCTATGGAGGACATACCTAGGTCCACCTGGGATGAAATTAAACTTCTAACTTCTAGGGTCTCATTCCAAAGATTCCCAGAAAGCAAGTATTTTGGAAATAAAGCTATTTTTGCCCTTGTCCATAACCTTGGTCTTCCCAGCCCCTCCATCTATCCCAGCACCCCAAGCTGGACCCTCCTCAAGGTGACATATATCCACAGCTGTGAAGAGAGGCATCTATGACAAGTTTGGAGAGGAGGGCCTGAAGGGCGGAATCCCTCTGGAGTTTGGATCACAGATCCCGTGGACAACTGGTTACGTCTTCCACGGCAACCCTGAAAAAGTTTTCCATGAATTCTTCGGGGGAGACAACCCTTTCAGTGGTAAGAGGTCCTACTCACCCTGTCGCCTTACTAGGAAAGGAACTACCTCTAAAAGATGTTTTTCTTTGAGTAGGGTTTTTTGCTTTTTTTTTTTCAAGACAGGAAGGAAGGGAGGGAGGGAGGGAAGAAGAGAGGGAGGAAGGAAGGAAGGAAATAATAAAAAATTAAAACAGAATTTATTGAAAAAGAAATAAATTGCAGCCCCCCATTTACCTCCCTAGAAGCAGCTACTCATTGTTAACAGTTGATGTATCCTTCTAGAAATTTTCTATGCATTTATAAGCATATATGTATTTTTATATGTCTTAATTTTTTTAAGAAAATGGGACCACATTTTACAGAATATTGCACAGATTTTTTCGTGTAACAGTAGATCTTGGAATATTATTTTATTATTTATTATATATAGACCTACTTTACTTTTTTTATTGTGCTTTAAGTGAAAGTTTACAGTTCAAGTTAGTTTCTCATACAAAAACTTATACTCACATTGTTATGTGACCCTAGTTGCTCTCCCTACAATATGACAGCACACTCCTCCTTTCCACCCTGGATTTCCTGTGTCCATTCAACCCACTCCTGTCCCTTTCTGCCTTCTCATCTCACCTCCGGACAAGAGCTGCCCATTTAGTCTCATGAATCTACTTGAGCTAAGAAGCACACTCTTCACGAGTATCATTTTATGTTTTATAGTCCAGTCTAATCTTTGTCTGAAGAGTTGGCTTCAGGAATGGTTTTAGTTTTGGGCTAACAGAGAATCTGGGGGCCATGTCTTCTGGGGTCCCTCCAGTCTCAGTCAGACCATTAAGTCTGGTCTTTTTATTAGAATTTGAGTTCTGCACCCCACTTTTCTCCTGCTCTGTCAGGGACTCTCTGTTGTGTTCCCTGTCAGGTTGGTCATTGGTGGTAGCTGGGCACCATTTTTAGTTCTGATGGAGTATCTGGTTTATGTGGCTCTTTCTGTCTCTTGGGCTAATATTTTCCTTGTGTCTTTGGTGTTCTTCTTTTTCTTTGCTCCAGGTGGGTTGGGACCAATTGATGCATCTTAGATGGCCTCTTGCTAGCTTTTAAGACCTCAGATGCCACTCACCAAAATGGGATGCAGAACATTTTCTTAATAAACTTTGTTATGCCAATTGACCTAGCAGTCCCCTGAAATCATGGTCCCCAGTCCCCTGTCCCTGCTACTCTGTCCCTTGAAGTGTTTGGTTGTATTCAGGAAACTTCTTAGCTTTTGGTTTAGTCCAGTTGTGCTGACTTCTCCTGTATTGTATGTTGTCCTTCCCTTCACCTAATTCTTGTCTACTATCTAGTTAGTGAATACCCTCACCCTCCCTCCCCACCCTCATAACCATCAAAGAATGTTTTCTTCTGTCTTTAAACCTTTTCTTGAGTTCTTATAATAGTGGTCTCATACAATATTTGTCCTTCTGTGACTGACTAATTTCACTCAGCATAATGCTTTCCAGATTCATCCACATTATGTTTCACGGGTTCACTGTTCTTCTTTATCATTGTGTAGCATTCCATTGTGTGAATATACCATAATTTGTTTATCCATTCATCCGCTGATGGGCACCTAGGTTGTTTCCATCTTTCTGCTATCCTGAACAGCGCTGCAATGAACATAGGTGTGCATATATCTATTCGTGTGATGGCTCTTTTTTCTCTAGGATATATTCCAAGGAGTGGGATTGCTGGATCATATGGTACTTCTATTTCTAGCTTTTTAAGGAAGTGCTAAATCAATTTCCAAAGTGGTTGTACCATTTTACATGCCCACCAGCAGTGTGTAAGTGTTCCAGTCTCTCCACAACCTCTCCAATATTATTTTGTTTTTTGGATTAATGCTAGCCTTGTTGGGGAGAGATGGTAGCTCACTGTAGTTTTGATTTGCATTTCTCTAATGGGTAATGATCATGAGCATTTTCTCATGTATCTGTTAGCCACCTGAATGTCTTCTTTGGTGTACTTTGTTCATTTTAATGATTGAATAAGGTTTCATTCTACAAATGTGTATTAGTCAGAGATCAGTTGTAGAAACAGACACCATGATAGCCACGTTAAGCAGAAAAGGGGTGTGTGTAATACAGGGAATTAGGTGCTTAAATCATTGGGAGAAAAAAAAAAAAAGTCATAGGAAGGTCTGGATGAGAGGACTATAGACAGGCCCTCCAGGAATTCCTCCTAGAACAACACCTCTAAACTGGCCCATAAGGAGAGCTGCTATCTGCCAGTCATGAGGAGGGGAATCAGGGGAACACCGCTATTGTGCTCCAGAACACACCAATGTAGCTGCAATCATAGCTTAAGGAATTTGCTGCCATTGCTGCCCTGCTTGCCTCTTGACAGGCATGAAGCTAGTGGGTGGACACTGAATGTTGCTGCAGAAAAATCCAATATCTTCATGACAGTGCTAACCAGCACCAGCCAAAGCCACAGAAAGATGCCTGCCCTCCCTCTCTCTGCCTTCCGAATATCTCAGAGTTTACCTAATTAACAGAGTGCAGATTCAGAACCTAGCTGCAAGAGAGTCTGCCCAATGTTCTTTTTCAGCTATCCAGATTCTACAGTAGGAAATGTACAAGTAGGAGGATGGAATGGATGCTGAGTGCCAGTTCACCGCATCTACCATTGGATGTTTTATAATTTATTAATTTGAATCACTCTCTCGTTGATGAATATTTAGTTTTCTTTTTCCAGTTCTTTGCTAATATTATACAGCAAAGATGCCCTTTGCTCTTTTTCTGTTGAAACAGTTCTCATGCTACTTATAGTTGGATTTCCTAATACGCTTGTCTTCCTATCAGACTATGAACTCCCCAGGGCAGGGCCTAGGACTGATTGATCTCTGAGTATCCAAACCCCAGCCTAGGATCTGAGAAGAGTGAGTGAATTGGTGGATGGATGGGTGGATAGATAGGATGAAAGGAAGGATGGATGTCTGGAAGGAAAAGATGGATGGGTGGATGGGTAAGTGGATAGATGGGTGCATGATCCCAAACAGACGGACAGAGTTGATTTCTGAGACTCTCAATTGTCTTGCAAAGACAGTTAACCTTCAACCCTATCTTCCTGGCTCCAGTTATGCAGCTCAGGGAGTACAGATTTTCATTGCCTGTCACCTCCCCCCCCCCCATACACATCTTCTTCTCCTTGGCCATACTACAGATTTTTTGCATTCCAAAAATTCTCTCTCTTCACCATATTAATAAGATAATGGGCTGCAGCCCACTGCCCCCTTCACCTCAGCCTCCCTCCCACTCTGCATTGCCTTCATATGTCTGCAAGGAAGCTGAGTTTATAAACTCCAGGTGAGACTGGAAAAAGCAAGGGCCTTGGAGTCAGAGGGTCTGCCTCAAACCCATGCTCTGCCACTTATCAACCATGTAATTCAGGCAAATCTCTTCACCTTTCTGAAATCTCAGTTTCCTCATTGTGAAATGGGTGTAATAATCCTTGCCTCACAGGTCATTATCAAATGACATAATGCTTATGAAAATGGGCTTTGCAGTCAGAAAAGAATGCCATGCAATAGGCTTGCATCTCCCAGGGACAGGTGCGTGGAAAGAGGCTGTTCAGAGGTCAAAGCCAGAGCTTACAGGGGCTCATTAGGGAAGGTCAGGCTCGGACTCTGCAAGATCCCATAGGCAGTGTCCAGGAGTTATCTTGCTACAGTGCTTCACTCCAGGGATTCTTGTGTCCCATCTCCCTGCAGGGTTAAGCTAGGACTTCCTGTGTCCTGGCAATTGGTGTATCTCCTACCTGACATACCATAGGTTGTGGGTGAACAAATGAACACAGGAAAGCAAGAGGAGACCAGGTAATTCACAGGCCTCCCCATTACCCATCACACCTTAGAGAGACTGAATATGAAGCCCCCTCACCTTCCTCAGCCTAAGGTCATCTCACCATCCTGGCCTGTGAAGTTCATTCCATTGCATTAACCATGAGAGACAGAGGACAGCAAATCTTAATCATAACAGGTACCCTGACTTTACAGTTTACAAAGGACTTTCACATCTAGCAAGATAGTGTAGGATTATGGGTGTAGAACTGGGCAGGGGCAAAAAAAAAAAGTTGAGGAAAGAGGAGTTTGGGGATATGCTGGTGACCTCTCAAATTTGTTATTGACCACCATGCCCCTCCCCCTAGTCTCAGCTACTGACTTTATAGAAACGTGAATCTGGGGTCTCTAGTGGTCTTGGGCTGGGCTGGCCAGTGAGGAGTTGGAGGACTGGTGTGCTGTGCCTCCCCTCTCCCCAAGCTAACAGCGCCGCCAGAGTAATATCTGACACTACCACCAGCGGGCACTCCTCTCTTTTCTGAGGCAACAGAGACTGAAGGGGAAGGAGAGGGGAGCAGGGAAGTGGGAGGATGCCCAAAGTGGAGGATGAAGCAGTGAGGAGCGGCAAGGGATGCTCATCACTGGCTCTGCAGCTGAAGGCAGCTTCCTGACCCAGCCAAACAGCCTGAGCCTGAGAGGTAGGAATGGGATGTTGGGTATCACACTTGGGGCACCGAAGAGGTAGGGAGTGACTTGTGAATCTGAGTCTCTGGACACAATTCTATTCCTCTTCTCTCCCCATCTCCTACAGAGTTTTTTGATGAAGAAGGAAGTGAGGTGGATTTGAACTTTGGGGGGCTCCGGGGCCGAGGGGTCAAAAAGCAGGATCCCTCAATTGAACGAGACCTCTACCTGTCCCTGGAAGACTTGTTCTTTGGCTGCACCAAGAAAATTAAGATCTCCAGAAGGGTGAGTACTTGGCTTGCTCCTACTGGAAACCACCATTTACCCCATCCAACCCTACCAGTCACCTCCTTCCTGGCCCCTAACTGGAGAACTTAGACATGGTCTCTGATGGAATCATGAAAACTTAGATCTAAAGTTTGGAAGGGACAATTGAAGATATTAGTCTGGCTTTTTCCTACTGCAGGAGTTCCCTTTGCAGTTTTCCTAACTGGGATGGTATCTTTCCTTTCCTCTCTCTCAGTTCAGCCTCATCCCTGTGGGAGGTGGGAGGGTTCTGAAGGGAAGGAGTCTCCTGTGAATCCTGCCCTCTTGGCATTCCCAGACCATACCTCCAGGATTTCAGCAGGGTATAGACCTCAGGGGTAAGAGGGAGCAGTGTGGGCCTGGTGGGTGGGCTGGGAGACAGCCACTGAGGTTACTGGTTGGAGGAAGGCCCCTAGTGACTAAGGGTCCAGTCCTTGGCTTGGCCCTATTCCATGGCCCAGCCCTGTGCCAGGCACAAGAACAAGGCCCTCTCATCTTTGCCCAGAGGAGATGCCAACTGTCGCCATGCTTGCCACAGATGGTCCCCATCTGGGCATGTGATTAGTGAGTGGATAGACAACATAATGGAGAATACACTGGGTGAGGCTCAGATATGTTGAATTCTATGGTCTTTCTCCCTTCAAAATTAGATTTCTTGCCCTCTGTCCTCCCCACTCAGCTAGGACTTGCTAAGAGACCTGTATGGAGGCTCAGGTTCAGGTCCTCTGGGGTTGGGAGGGAAGAACTGGGTATATTTTTACTGAGCATCTGTTAGTGGTCACATAATTTCTGGGGCTGGAGTTGTGGGCTTGATCAACTCATGGGGGCTGCTTGGCATCTCAGGCTCCAGTCCCAGTCCCACGACATGCCCTGCCATCTGAATCATAAGTTCTTGGTTCTAATGGCAAGGGAGTGGGAGTGGAGATGGCTCATTACTAGGATATTGAGCCTGAACACAAATCCCAGAGAGCCTCCTTCATGTGTACAAAGGCCAAATAGTTGCCTCTGTTCATGGAAATCCAATCAAACCCCCTGTCCCCGTACTTCCTCGCTGCAGGTGCTGAATCCCGACGGGTACTCCTCCACCATCAAGGACAAGATCCTGACAATTGATGTGAAGCCTGGCTGGAGGCAGGGCACACGCATCACCTTTGAGAAGGAAGGGGACCAGGTGAGGGGGAAGAGAGGCCAGTGTCCCAGCCCCCACCCTTAAGTCAGTCACCTGGGCTCAGGTGGTGGGGAGACTGAGGTGCAAGGAGGTGGTGCATCTCCCGACCTGTGAGCCCTGGGCTTATAGGGAGACCAGTCTGCAGAGTGGGTGAGATGATCCTTAATGTCTTTTCCAAGGGCAGAGTCTCACAATGCCTTTGTGAATGGGCAGCCCAGGAATTACCCCCATTTTACAGAGTGGGAAACTGAGGCCCAGAGAGGAAAGGAACTCACCCGGAGCAAGAGTGAAAAAGCTGAAGGGATAACCCAGTCCTAACTCCAGTGCTCTTCCTGATGTTTTTTAGTGCTTCTCTAATTAAAGCCCAACCATAAGAGGTACTCAAAAACCATTTATTAATAATAATTTAAAATTAAATAAAAAAATGTGAAATGATTGTCCAAGGAATGCTGAGTCCTTAAGTCCTGAGGAGAGTGGCAGAGTAATTCCTCTGCCCACACTTCCTGCCTCCCTTTTCACTTAGAAAACGTCTACTTCCAAAAACATCTTTCAAGTCCCAGCTCCAATGTTACTGCCTTTGGACAGCCTTCCCAGATCTCCTGAGCCTCTGGGCGTCCCTTTATCACAGCCTGAAGCATGCAGAGGAGTCCATGAGTGTGGTTTTTCCACCAGACCGGGAGCTTTTTGGGGTTAGAGGTCGGTCTGATTCCTCTGTCCCCAGTACCCAGAAGAGAACCCAGCAGAGTTTTAGTGACTTAATGAAGCTTGCCTGGGGGGTGTCACTCATGGAGTTATTGGTAGGAAAGAGGCTCAACTGAGGAAGCCTCTCGGCCCTCCAGCTGAGTGCATCTATTTTGGGCATGCTCAGTAGAGGAGAAGCAACATTGGGGGAAGCCATCAGGTTGGCTTCTCAGGGCAGGGTCTAAGGAGGCTGAGTTGAAAAGTCCCTTTCAGAGCACCTGGCCCAATCTCCCCATTGTACAGATGAAGACATGGAAACCAATAGGGGCAGGAACTTGGCAAAGGTCACACAGCCAATTAGTCCATGTCACCCCTTGGCCTCCCCTGCCCAGGGCCCCAACATCATCCCAGCCGACATCATCTTCATTGTAAAGGAGAAGCTTCACCCTCGTTTCCGCAGGGAGAACGACAACCTCTTCTTTGTGAACCCCATCCCCTTGGGCAAGGTAAGTGGGCAAAGTGGAGAAGCAGGGAAGGGAGGGATTATAGCTAGCCTCATCTGTCCCAGGGGAGACCCCAAGGCAGGCAGGCAGGCCTCCCCCTCTACTCACCCCAGTGTGTGGCCCAGGCCTTCAGAACCGGCTAAGTCTGCCACACAGAATCAGAATCAAACCAAACCGGAATCTTTGTGGTTGCCTTCAGTCCAGGGAGTGAATGACCTCTCCACAGCCTCCCAACCCAGTCACCAGCCTAGACTTTGTCTCCCCTTCCCCACCCCACCTACATTCAATCACTGTTAACTGCGTGCAGTCAGCCCCTGCCTGACCTGTGGCTACCCCATGCACAACCAGACTGGACTGTTGCGATGCTGTCTACCCACCCTGTCTAACTGGCAAGGTCCTCCTTACCCTTTAAGGCCCTCATCAACTGTTACTGCCTCTGTACAGCCTCCCTGCCCCCTAGATTGGTTTGGGGGCTTCTCTTTGGCTCCCAAAGATCCCCTTACTTCCCTCTGTCATAACACTTAAGCTATATCAACATTAGTCTTACCTACCAGACGGTAAACTCCTTAAGGGCAGGCAATTGCTTGGGTCACTCACCTGTCGGTCCTTGAAGAGCATTTTTCTCCCAGGTGCCCAGCTCAGGACATGGCACTGAATAGGCTCATAAACTACTCTCTAAAAAGAATGGCCATAATGACCCCCCTCCCCCCACTTTTGGCCTCAACCCTCCCCCAGGCTCTTACCTGCTGCACTGTGGAAGTGAAGACCTTGGATGACCGTCTGCTCAACATCCCCATCAATGACATCATCCAGTGAGTCCGTCTGCTTTGTGCCCCAGTAGGCAAGGGAAGGTCTGGCTGGGCCTTGGGAGTAGTGTCAGGCAGGTCTGCCTGGTATGGTATGGTTGTACAGGTTGTGCCCAGCATCAGGGTGCCCAGATGAGGAGGCAAGAGAGGGCCAAAATCCAGCCCACACCCCACTCCCCGGCCAAGCTGTGGGCTACATTTACCTGGCTAAAGGTATGCCTTCCTCTAATTTGCACAAAGCTACTGTAGAGGCCAGAGGCCTCCAGTGTTGGGCAGTCCCTGCTGCAACATCCTCCAGAAACTCTCATTAAGTTCTGAGTTGTGTCCCTTTTCCAATAAAGGCCCTCTACATGGGAAGCTTTGCTCACCAGCCCAGCATTCCTCACCCCAATCCAGGGTCTGCCCACCTTCCTTCCCTACCCTGTTCCCGTATGTAAAACAAACTTCCTGGGACCCTCTATCAAACTTGGTGTAAATGGGGCCAGGGACCAGGCTGTCTGGGACAAGGCAGCTCTTCTCTCCCCTCCCACTGGATCTGGCTAAGAGGCATTCCATGGTGGAAGCTGTAGTGATTGCCCCATTCCTGATGTTAGGTGACTAGGGATGGCATGGGACCTGTTGAGGTTCTGCTCTAGGGTGCCCTCTGATCTCCCTTCTTTTATCCTCCCTTGTCTCAGCCCCAAGTACTTCAAGAAGGTGCCAGGTGAGGGGATGCCATTGCCTGAGGATCCCACCAAGAAGGGGGACCTCTTCATCTTCTTCGACATCCAGTTCCCCACCCGCCTCACACCCCAGAAGAAGCAAATGCTGCGCCAGGCATTGCTGACATGATATGGTGGGCTGGAGGCCAGAGCAGGGGTGGGAAAAGGCCAGCCAAGCCTCTTGTGGACAGGGAGCTGGCCCGCTGCACAGATGTGAAGGTGAGGGTGGGATGGCATAGGACTTTTAAGTTGACATAATAAAGACTTATTTCTGACCCTCCAGCTACACCCAGGAGAGTGTGTTGGAGGGAGAGGAGCTTCATACCAGTCCTCCCTGGAGCAGAGGGAAGAGCAAGGCCCAAGAAGCTGAGGACTGGGGCCCTGTCTTGCCTGCAGCACTGATCTGTGGTGAGGGCAGGTCTCTGAGCCTCTGTGCTCCCACCTTGGTAAAAGAGGGCAGGGCTGTGTGGCCTCTGAGGATTCCCAGCTCTGCTCTGGTCTTTCATGACATGTGATCTTTAGAAGGGGCAGTTCATAGAATATGATATGGGCACATTGTAGAGACAAGAAAACTAAAGCCCAGAGAGAAAACACTTGTCCCAGATCACACAGGTGTTAGTGGCAAAGCTGTCACCAGAACCCAGACCTCACTCCAGCCAAGGCCACTCCATACAGACTCATCCTGCTTAGAGAGGGAGGCAGCCTGGTGCAGCACAGAGAACACAAGCACTAAAAATGGCTTTGTTTCTACTTCTCTGGTCTCAATCACTGGTCCAAGTTGGGCCCCGGGCTGTCTCTAGACGGAGTGGCCTGAGGGGCAGGAGAACTGCGTTCTGGTCTCAGCCCTGCCGCTGACTCCTTGGACCATTCACTTCCCCTCTCTGAGCCTGTCTTGTCAATAAAGCAGAGCTCATAACCCCACCTCACAGGTTTGTTGTGAGGATTTCAATCGCCAATATGAAAGTGCTTGGTGAACTCACTGCTCAGATTACGGGAAGAGTTACATCATTGCTGCTGTGGCCTGTACAGACCACACTTGCCTTTCCAATCTGCCTTCCATCAGCCATCAACACTGGATAGTGCACTTCCTCCATGCTAGGGCAAAGGGGAGAGTCCTCCCTATAGTCTGAGTGCGGGCTCAGGATAGGTCTAAGCTTAGGGACAGAGGAAGCCATTTCTGTGGTGTGACTTCAGAGTAGCCAGAAAAGGCTCCCACATTATCCATCTCGCTTGGAATTCCACCATTCATATTAGCTTAATAAGTTTTTTGTTTGAATGGATGGTCAGTAGCACTTGCTAGCCATTTTAGACCATCAGGGAGAAGGCAGCAGCAGACTTTGAGATGTAGAACCTGGAGACCAGGATTCTAGGAAGCATCTGAGCATAGTAGGCTTTGGGGTCTGGCACACCCGTGTTTGGATCCCAGCTATGCAACTTATCAGCTGTGTGCCCTTGGACAAATCACTTTACCTCTCTGTAAATTCCTTACCTACAGCAGGGACTAAGGAATGCTGGTGGTGCAATGGTTAAACGCTCAGCTGCTAACCAAAGGGTTGGTGGTTTGAAACTACCAGGGGCTGAGGGAAAAAAGACCTGGTGATCTCCCATAAATATTACAGCTTAGGAAACCCTACGGGCCAGTTGTACTGTCATGTAGGGTCGCTGAGTATGAATTGACTGGACGGCACATACCACCTTGCAGGCCCTTCGTGGAAACTAGATAAAGCCGACTCTCCCCTCTGTGAGGCGCACCCAGGTGCAGTTGCTCTGTTGAAAGCAAGGAGGATGGGGAGCATGGTGCCTACTAGCCCAGCTCTGAAACTCCCAAGTCTGTCTTCTCTACGACAGTAGCGAAGCCTGGTCTCCAGCCTGATGGAAAGACCTTTATGAAATTTCTCTCGTTACCTCAGTGCTAACTTTTGAGTCAGGCAAAGTAGGGCTTATCATAGACCCATGCTCTAGTGTTAAGGGCTGAGATCCAGAGAGGAAGTGATCTACCCATAATCACGGTTCAAGAGCCCCACTGGTATACTTTTCCAGTGGTTCACATCACCTTCCTGAGCTCCTCATTGTCTGAGGGGACATGCCCAGAACCAGCTGACAGTGCTTATTTCCAGTCAGCAGCCTATTTAGCTATACTAACATGCTGGGGGCAATTTACTGCCCGTTTCCTCTGGTATAAAACTGCCTTTTAGGATTAATGTGAGAATTAAGATAACGTAAAGCACACACATACACACACACACACAACTCAAGTTGACTTCCACTCAGGGTGATGTCATGCGTTGAACTGTGTTCCATAGGGTTTCCAATGGCTGATTTCCTTAGCACACCACCAGACCCTTCTTTTGAGGCACTTCTGGGTGAACTCTAACAGCTAACCTCTTGGTTATCAAATGAGCATGTCAACTGTTTGAACCACACATGGGGTTGACAAAGTCAAAATTGACTCAATGGCAACTGGCACTAGTATTTAAGGCACAGTGACCAGGTCATCCTTTATGCTGATTCCCTGCAGCTCAGTGGAGAAAACAGCTTGACTGGGCCACCTGCCACCTGCACCCCGGCTTGCTGCCTTACAGCACCCAACTCTGCCCCTCCTGGGGACTGAGGCCTCGGCTTATCTGTCAGAACCTAGTCCTGGGCCCCCCTTCTTAAGCACTGAAGGGTCTACCCCCCTCCAGCTTTAACCAAGGAGCTATGGAGGGAAGGGAGCAGAGGCTTCAAATGCTTTAGGCTGTGGGAAGAGAGAGGGAGGAGCCATGTTCTCTGAGCCTGGCTCCACAGCTACCAAACAGGGCTTTCCAAGGACCCCAGCTTGGTTTCTGGACAAGAGTCCAGCTGCTTTCTGTGTCCTTGCCTGTGTGACCTGTCTCAGATCTCAGCTTCTTTAGACATCTATAAAATGGGCCTGAATGACTTAAGTCTAAGGTCCGAGCCCCCTCCAATGATATGCCTTGGGATTCTGGGGCCTCAGAATCCCTTACCCCCTGAAATAGAAGTAGCCCTGCCCACCTGCTTTCCTGCCTCAGCAGGACAGGTGGAAGAACAGGAACCCTGCCCTGGGAAGAGGGTGAGATTCCAAACGGAAAGTATCCTCAAGGTGAGGCTGAAGAAGTTTGCTCCTGCCCTGCAGCCGAACCCAGCCTCCCGCTCAGTCAGGGACTGCCCCACCCAGCTCAGTAGTAACACTTCCTCCCAGGGGTGTGACTGTGGAGGATGGGAGGTGGCCAGACTTGCTCTCTCACTTGGTCTGGGACTTTGGGGAGGTAGGTTTTCCATTTATAAAATGGAATAAAATAAGCCCACAGAATCTAAGATTCCCAAGTTCCTCTAAATCTTCCAAGAAGCCCTGGAGATGCAGGGGAGACAGGGCCACTCTCATCTTGCAGATAAACAGTCCTGGGGCCAGTGGGGCAAAAGGGGGCTCTTGTTACAGCAAAGGCAGGCAATGCAGTACCAGATACTGGGTGAGTGGAAGCTCAAGTGGCCTGGCAGGGAAGCAGGGGGAGAGCAAAGCCATTGCTATGCCTTGCCCTTCACTTGCCACCTCAGCCCATGCCCTGGGTCGAGAGAGAGGAATGGACTGGATGACCTCCATGGGCCCCAGATTGGACAATGGAGGTGGAAGGTGAGTCACACTCCCCTTTCCAAGCCAGGTGGCTCCTCCCCTGCCCACCAGGTGCCAAATGGACCCACTGGTAACATTTCTGCTAACAGCTACAAGAGAGGGAGGAGACACCAAGGTTGAGCTTGCTTTATGGGTGGTATGCTGGCTAGGCTGGGCAGCAGGATGGAGATTTGGGCTAACTTTTCAAGGGACTGGGGGCTTGGGATCCTGGCTGGTGCCAGGGTGGGGTCAATACCACCAGGACTGAGAGAAAAGGGGGAGATAAGGTAGAGAGGAGGGGTGAGAATATGGGGGAGGGAAGGGATGTGGTGGCAAGAGGAGGGGAAGGAAGAGAGATAAAGAGGGAAGGGAAGGAGAAAAAGGGAAGCAGGGCCTGGCTGGGCTGACGCCATTGCCTGAGGTGGTCAGGTCGGCAGCAGGAGAGGCTCAAAAGGGAGCTTCCCGGGAAGTGCAGGCAGCTGTGAGGGCTCGTTTCAGCTGCTCATAGGTGACGAACATCACCACATTCCAGGAACCCAAGCGAAGAAAGGAGGGCATGAACCTAGGGGAGGGAAAATACAGGTCACAGGGTGCACCTTGGTGACACTGGAGGCACTGGGCCTGGCATCCAATCCAACCCGGTTGTTCTGTCCCAAAGGTGTCTGGGAGGACCCTAGAACTGAGCCTCACAGCTGTGTGGCTATGAACGAGTATCCTCTCTGGGTCTGAATTTTAATACTTATAAAATAAAATAGAGAGGAGTCCTGGTGGTGCAATAGTTAAAGCACTCAGCTGCTAACTAAAGGTTGGTGGTTTGAACCCACCCAGTAGCTCTACGGGAGAAACAACTGGTGATCTGCTCCCATAAAGATTAGAGTCACATGGGGTTGCTACGAGTAGAAATCAACTCGAGGGTACCTAACAATAACATAAAATAGGGCTGACAGCAATCGTGGGAAGAAGGAGGACTAAAGAGGATGAGTGAATGCCTAATACCAGGACCAGGATCAGAAATAATTCGACACTTGGCTGTTACTTAGCTCCAGATGGCTCTCTTCCCTCTGTGTGATGTGTGGGTGGCCAGGAGGAATTGGGTGGGGTGGATGGGTGGGGTAGATCAGAGGCTCACCCTTTGTAGAAGGCCCGGGGCCCCTCCTTCTGGAGCATGGTAAGGGCACAGTGGCCAGCGCTGCTGTACTGGCCCAGGGCAGAGTTCATGTATCTCGTCTTGACTACGTCGACAGGGGAGGCGATGACAGTGGTACAGAAGCCTGCCCCAAAGGCAGAGGTGAAATGGCAAGGGACGTCATCTGCCAGAGAGGAGGGAGGGGCAGGCAAGGCAGTCAGGATTCTTCACCCTTACCCCTGTTCCAGAAGGAAAACCAAGAGCCTAGAGAATTAAGTAGCTAGGGGCCTCGTGGAGGGACAGAGACTCTAGCTGGACCTCTCCTGATGATGTAAGAGTCATTTTACCAATACAGTTTTGGTTCCTCAAGCTGCCAAGTGGGAGCTTCATCCCAGCTGGCTTCAAAAGGGGAGGTCAGAGACAGAAACTCAGTCCACAAGCAAAAGGGCAGGAGGATAAGAAAAGGTGGTCTTTAGGCAACCAGACTCCCATATGCCCTCCTGGGTTGGGAGAAGAGCAAGACACAGCACCAGCTACCCTAACTCACCTGTCATGAGATTAGCCTTCAGGAGGGCATCCTTGATGAGGTCATAGGTCACCAGCTCAGCACAGTTGACAATGGCATTACGAGCAACATTGGGAGAGGTCCCTATAGGAAGGAGAGCCTATGTGAGAACAGGGAATGGAGGAGGGAGGAGGAAGGTGAGGGAAAGGAAACGCCTGATACACACCTTTCCAGAGTCCCTGAAACCCTTCCTCCCGGGCAATGGTCTTGTAGGCATCCACAGTGCTTTGGTATCTCCGGCCACCTCCAGCCCGGGCCTGAGCTTGGAACCGGACCTTCACCACATCCGTAGGCTGGGCCACAGCCACAGCCAGGGCACCTGTGGTGCTGCCTGCCAGGAGGCGGCTACCGATGCCAGCATCTGTGGGTGAACCATGGGGCGGTGGTCAGCTGGGCTTGCACTCATTTTCCACCTCACCTCTCCTCACCAAAATCATCACATTACTGTAACCTCCTGACTTTCAGGAGTAGAGTCCAGACCAGCTCTTTCTCTAACAACCCCTCGCACCAAACAAAATATCACAGTGAACATCTACTACTTGCTAGCCACTGGGATGAAACAAGGAAGAAGGCAAAAATGATACGCAGTGCTTTATTTCATAAAGAATTTTCATTTCATTTAATCTGCTCAACAGCCGTGAGAAATCAGAATCATTTCCATCTAACAAATGCGAAACCAAGGCTGAGAGAGAAGTGGCCTTTCCAAGGGCTAGCCTTGGGTTCTCTTCTGAGACCTACTTCTCCCTGCCACGTGATCTTGGGGAAGTCAACCCTTTTTCTGGGTTCTCGGTTTCTTCATGTGTAAAATGGAGGGTTAGCTTGGCTTGCTAAGGAGGTGAATGGAAGAGTGTTGGCCTCAGAGATCCCTGTTGTGTGCCCTTGGCCAAGTCCCTTTTTCTCTTCAAGTCTGCTTTTTCATCTGTAACATTGGGATGATACCACCTACTCCCATGGTGATTGTGGGGAATGCCACAGAATGATGTCCATGGGCCTGGCACAGCCCTGGGCTCAGGAATCATTAGGAGAATCAGGGCCCCTTCCAAGTTCTCAGTTTCTCTGATCCTCTCAGGGATCTTGTGCCTAAAGGAGCTATTCTGCTAAATGAACTAAGATCAATCAGCACAAAGAAAAGGCCAAGGAGCATATGGACCAGCTCCATACTCACGTTCAGAGCCTTTGGTGTAGAACTGCTTGACTGAGTCATAGAGGCCGATGCGGACAGAGGCAAAGCTCATCTGGCGCTGTAGGCCAGCAACCAGCCCGTTGTAGAGGCTGCGCGGGCCCTCTGTGCGCACCATGGTCAGGATGGTGCCCAGCACACCGCGGTACTGAGTGGTGGCCATGGCCTGCACTGGCCCTTTACTTTCTCCTTGGATCTGCAAGACCAAGACAGGGTGGCTATAGGGATAGGCAGGTTGCCTTCCTCATGTCTGTCCTTGGGGAGGGAGCAGACTAGATAGCATTAGGACCCCCAGGTCATCTCCTCACCTGCAGCCGGACTTTAGCGGTATCCAGGGGGAAGGTGATGAGATCCGCAATGCAGGCGGCTGTGCCAGCCCCCAGGAACTTCACAGTGGCAGTCGGTGGCACATCTGTGGCCTTGAACCCAACCATGATGCTGATTTCCTGCAACCTCCCAGGAGATGGAGAAGAACTGGAGAAGGGGGCACCTTCAGTCAGCAACAAGACAAGATAGAGGAACTCTGCCGGAGGAATCTAAGCCAAGAGGAGAGAAGCCCATCAGTGGCAGTGCCCCCAGGTCCTCCCCCTCCCCCTCCCACCCCTATCTTCTCTGATAGCACCAACTCCCTAAGGAAGGATGCAGAACAGCCCCATAAGGGAAAATAGGAGTGAGCTCCGGAGGTATGGAAGTAGGGCTGGAGAGGCAATTCCTGTCTGAGGAGTCCATATTTAGTGAATATTTGTCTCTTTTCCTGACAAAGAGCGGGATCAGGGCTGTCCTAGCGCTGCCTTGCCAAGAGCCATTGGCCTAGCCTTTGTCTGCTGGGTGTGGAGCTTTCACTGATGCTGCCCACACCTGGCTCCTGTGGATCTGACTGGAGAGCTGCCAGGAGGGAAATGGCTTCAGCCAGACCACGCCCTGACAGGCACATGCAAGGCCACAGGCTTGTGCCCTTGCCAGGAGAGGTTCCTATGGGTCTGGAATTGTTTAAGTCTAGAAGAGGATGGACAAGATGACCAATTCAATCCCTTCCTAGGCCCCACATGGCTCAGGGTCTCTAGTCATTCTTTTAACAAGGCTGCTTTGCTGGGCACCAGTTCACTGAGACTCAGGAGACATTATATCTGCCCTGTTGTTGCCTGCCGTCAAGGTGATTCTGACACATAGCAACCCCACGTGACAGAGTAGAACTGCCCCACAGGGTTTCCTATGATGTAATATTTACAAGAGCAGATCACCAGGTCTTTTCTCCCGAGGGGTACGGGCTGGGTTCTAATGGTAGGCCGACCTTTCATTGTATGGCATGGGGAAAGGGCAGGTGATTCAAGCTGCATTTGGGGCTTGCAGGATATATTCTGAAAATGCAGAGGAAGGAACAACTAACCACATCTGGAGACAGGCCAGGAAAAGTGGATGATGAGAAAAGACTTCTTTGACAAGGTAACTGTTTAGCTGGGCCTTGAAGGATGCTAGGCAATTCTTGGGGCTGAGAGTTAAGTGTGTAGGCGCTGGTCTCTCTCTCAGTTGGCCTGTTGTGTGACACAGGGAAAGCTCTCTCCCTCTTGGCCAGTTTTTCTTCCTCCAGCATAGGGGAACCACTTCTTCACCACAAGAGAGGTGGGTATGGGGAGGTGTAGGTCAGAGGCTATGAAGAATGACACAGCAAACCAAGAGCTCCATTTTGTTCTCAGAGTTGGAACACCCTCCTCTGTTGCCCAGGGAGGAAGTGAACAAGCACCCAAGTGGGGGAGGGACACCTGCTTCTCTGCCTGAGCTGACTTCATAGGACCAACTGCTCTGAGCCCAGCCCGATTGGCTGCCTCTGTCACTGGGGCCCAGGAGGAAAGAACTGGCTCTCAAGGGAGGATGTGGTGAGAGTCAGCTGTGAATACAGAGACTCATGGAAATAAACAGCTCACCCAGCTTCTTCCTCCTGGGCTTTTCACTCCAGGTGGCTGGAGCAAACAGGGAAATCAAGAGGCTACTCACATCAACTGTTTCCCTGGAGTCTGGCCCACATGAGGCTCAGTAAAGATTGGTGTTCAAATGGCAGAATGGGTTGATGAAGGTGTTCCCACACTCCCCAGTCCAGCTCCAAGAAGTTCTCCTTCCTCTGACACCCCTACCACCTATGAGGTGCTCTATACCTTTTCCCACCCCACTGCCAGGGCGCTCTATTAGCTCCCTTCTCAGACCAGCTCTGTGAGGTGGCTGCCCTTACTTCCATGTTACAGACAAGGAAACTCAGAAGCCTTCAGTCTACAGGCTCCGAAGCTTAAGCTATTTGCTTTGCACCCGCTCCTCATTTATTTCTTGTTTTCTCAGCCCCAGGAACAGGCAAGGTCTCTCATGCCAAGGCTAAGTTCTCTCGTGCCAACAGTTCTGAAAAGGTTTAGGCAAGTGGCATCCCTTCTCTGGGCATCAGAGACATGATAACGTGAGTCTACCATGTGTCTGATCTTGAGATGCATTGCAGGGTGTTGTGAAGGTCAGAGAAGAGTAAGCCCTGGCTCCTGCCTACCTCAAAGACAAGTGCACAGAGGTTCAGTTGCCATTTTGAATGCTGCCTTAGTGTTAGGGATTCAATTGTGTCCCCCCAAAAACCAATGTGGAAGTCCTAACACCTGTACCTGTAAATATGACCTTGTGTGGAAATAGGGTGCTTTTTTGTTATGTTAATGAGGCCATACCAGATTAGGGTGGGCCCTAAACCTAATTACTTCCAGGTGGTGTCTTATAAAAACAGCAGTTTAGACACAGATGTGCACGGGACACACACACACACACACACACACACACACACACACACACACACACACACACAGCCACCCACCCACCCACACACACACAGGAAAACAAACACCATCTGAAGATAACATCTACAGGCAGTCAAGGAACACCTGGGGGCAAAACAAGAAAGGAACTTCCCCTAGAGGAGATGTCTTGATTTGGACTTCTAGATCCCAAAACTGGGAGACAATAAATTCCTGTTCTTCACAGCCACCCATTTGTGGTATGTTGTTATCTAAGACACCTGGGTTTGCTAAAAGTCAGGACCTTCAAAGTGGTGCATATGGGCAAATATCACTTGTGTTAAAGAACCTACTAATGAAAATAAAACTCTGGCCTAGGAAAAGTTAATCATTTTATAAACCAGAAGTAAACAAACTTGTTGCCATTGAGTCAATTCCAACTCACAGCGACCCTATAGGACAGGGCAGAACTGTCCCACAGGGTTTCCAAGGCTGTAATCTTTAGGGAAGCAGACTGCCACATCTTTTACCCAAACAGTGGCTGGTGGGTTCGAACCATAGACTTTTTGGTTAGCAGCCAGGTGCTTAACAACTGCGCCACCAGGGCACCCGATCATATTTTATAGCCCCTAGCAAATAACCAGTTTCAGCTGAAGTTTCAGAGTCCAAAAAAGGAAAACTGATTAGTAATCTCAGTCTCAGATATAGTCAAAAGCTGGACTCACTATGTAGTCAGAACATTCGGCTCCTGCCTAACTGGATCCCCCCCACGCCCAGTTTTCTCCTTTGTAAAAAGGAGATCACCATCCTTGGTATGTGAGAGTCGACTTAAGGACCCGAAAGAGACCGGGGATGTATGAAGATGCTTTGGGAATTTTGAACATTGACTTCACTGGAGTTGGTGGTGGTAGTTATTTTTGTTAATGTCCTCTGATCTCCCCCTCTGACCCCAGGGCTAGAAGGCAGCAGGAAACCCCTTTCTTTAGACTGGAATCTTACCCGGCCTTGTAAGGTCTCACGCTGAGGCCGCCAAGATCAAGCTTCTCTAAAGACGTCCCATTCTTCAAAGCTGCCAGTTGCTATCATGATCTGGTCTCTTTGGTTTTCCATAGAAAATGGCTGGGAGACGGAACACCTAATGGTCATACTATGTGTCCTGTGCGTGAGGACAGAAGCAAGTTTAGAAAGGGACATTCACCTTGAAGGACCACACCCCAGCAGGGAAAGGGCCAGCGGCCCAAGGCACACATGTTCACTCAGTCCTTGCCTCGGAGGTAGGGAGGAAACAGGACCCATCTCACCCAGGGCAGCCAGTGATCAATGGGGAGGAATGAACCCAGGAGTTCTCCCTCCCTGCTCTGCTCTGTTGGTATCGCACATTGGCTCTCTTCCAGGCTTCTGCCTTAGTGATACTCAGTGTTCTAGATAAGCATGCCCCAACACAATCAGCAGACTCTGGTGAGTGGGAGTATTATGAAGGAGTCATGATGGGACAGACTTTCTCTGGGAGCCGTCCAGGATCCAGGCCAGGACTGCGAGGAGGTTGGAGCGGCTGGGAGTGGGCTGTGCAGAGGCCGGTTCGAGAAGCTCAAAGCCTCCTCTCAGCAGAAACAGCCCGAGGAAAGGTGTTGGAGGCGCATGACTTGGAGCCGCCAACAGGCGAGCCCGTGGCCCCAGACTGGGGAGGAAGGGGTCGCTCTGGTCATCGAGGGAGCTTCGAAGGCCCCCACTCAAGGCGGGGCTGGGCATCCTGGCCAAGGGGTGGTTGTGGGAGGGGGAAGGCTTCAATTACAGCCAAATGAATGCGAGAGGTAAAGAACAAAGGGAGATAGAAAAGGGGTGAGAGAAGAGAGATAAAGAAAAAGAACAAAGAACGAAGGAAAAATACAAAATAGGCTGAGAGGAGAGATGCAAAAATTAAAGAGAAGGTTGTATGGGGAGCCGCGTGGCCGGGGTAGCGGGAGTAGAAGCCGGAGGCAGAAGCGAATGGAGCAGGCGCAGGGCTGGGGTGGGCCGGGGCCGGGCTCACCGGGCCGCGGGGAGAACACGAGAGTGCGACGGCTCTGTCGGTGGGTGCGGTGCGTGGAAGGAGCTCGCAGTCCTCGATCCGTAAGCGCTGGCAGCCGGGCTTGCAGAGGGGTCAGCGGAGGCGGTGCCGCGACTTAGGTCTCGGGGGTGGGGCTTCCGGGCCCGCCGGCAATGAGCGAGGGTGAGGTGCCCTCAGACGCCACACTAACGGAAGGACGGCCACGCCCAGGGTTCTTCCCGCGCCTTCTTCCACGCCCGCTGCCGTGCAGGCCGATCGCCGCGTTTACCCCTTGTTCCGCCTGCCCACCCCCCACACCCACCCCTCCGGTTCTGCCAACCTCATTGTGAGAATGCCAAGACCGACTGCCAGCGAGAAGCAGAGGCTTGCCCAAGGTCACATACGCCTCTGCTTTCCAGCCAGGGCTCTTTGTAACAGCGGCCCAGAGGCTCGGGTATAAGTGCACTCCCTCCTTTTGCGTGCCTTTCGGGCCCTGTCGGCGAACCCCCAAACTCTGCAAACCCGCCAGCCTGGGGCCGAAGCGCGGGCTCCTGCGGCGCGGGGCCTCCCGACCAGCCTGGGTGTCGATTGGCTAAAGCCCAGGCGTTGCCCGGTAATCACCACCTGGTGTTAGGCGTGGCTAGGCTTCCCGCCTTCTCCCGCCGCGGAGCGGCCTTGCCCTCGGGGACCGGGGAGACTTCGAGCCCCGTTAGGGCGAGTGCCCTAAGCGTGACGCGCTTGCTCTGATTTACAGAAGAGTAAGCGGGTCGGCGCTCCGCGAGTGAGAAGGCAGAACAGAGCCCGCGCCCGTTGTGTGCCCAGCCCTGGACTACAAAAGGGAGTTAGGAGTCGAGCAGGAACTGGTTCGCCCTCGGGTGACTGACCGTGGGGGTAACAGACACATAAACAACCAATAATTGGGTCCTGTGGCCGGGACAAACACGTAACTTTTGAGAATAGAAGGAAATCGGTCTCTGTACCCCCCTTGGACCCTGCCCCTGCTTTTGTGTCCCTCTCTCCCTTTCTTCCTCCGTTTTCATCCCTGTCTGTCTCAAGGGACTGCTTTAAGGATTAGTTGAGATAGTGGACTGGAGAAAGATGTGGCAGTCGGCTTCCGTAAAGATTTACAGCCTTGGAAATGGGGTAGCTCTACTCTGTTGTATAGAGTCGCTGTTAGTCGAAATTCCACTCTACAGCAATGGGTTTGTTTTTGTAGTTGTTGAGGCAGTGGAACCTGTCTCCCTGATTACATTGTAAGCCCCTCAAAGCAGGAACCTGTTTCTTATTTTTTTCGCATTACAACACTCCAAGGGCCCATATGTAGTAGGGGCTCAGTATGTGCTGTTTCTGCTGCTGTTGAAAGTGCCTTGAAAAGTACAATGGGAGAATAGGGTGGGAGATTGACATTTGTTGAGTGAAATTACTATGTGTCGGGTTCAGTGTGGATAATTCACATAACCCCTGTGAGGCAGGTATTAATCTTCATTTTACAGATAAGGAAACAATCCCAAAGAAGCTAAATCACCTAAGGTCACACAGCTAGTAAGTGGTGGGCTGTGACTTAGCCTTGATCAATCTGGTTCCATTTGTGTGTTTTCTATATTGTCCACAAGCTGAAGAAATTGTTAGAATGGCTGAGGGGACTACACTGGATTGGGACTAGATAATTATAGCAGGAACGGAAAACACACTGGGCATGTGGTTCTAACTGAGAAGATAGAAAATTATTTGTGGCACTGAGGCATCTCACATAGCTTCTGTAGGTGAGCAGAACTGATTTCCAGGATGCTCACTGAATTTGTAGTGATATTGCTGATCTTGTCAGTGATCTCTGAGAGACAAGAGGAATAGGATAGAGCCAAAGCCTGGAAATGAAAATGTCATCCTGATTGTCAAAACAGGGTCAAAACTGGTTTCCAAAACTATATACTGGTGAGATGTTTGTCCATCCCCGGCCAAATTCAAGGGACTGTTAAAAGGATGATGTCTAGATACTTAAAAAGGAGAGTGGAAATCACCAGGATTCAGCACAGATTGCTTAAGAAATCCTGTTAAAATAAATTATTGTTATTTTTCTTGATGGAGCCGGCAGCTAAGAATAATACTACAGACAAACATAATATGCACTTAGTTTCTAGCTCATAAGGACAAAATAAAAAACTAAACTTACATTTACCCTAAACAAAGCACTAACTATGCCATATACACACAAAAAAACAAAGCAGTTGCCCTTGATTCAGACTCATGGTGACCTCATTTGTTTCAGAGCAGCACTGTGCTCCATAGGGTTTTCACTGGCTATAGTCTTTCAGAAGTAGATTGTGAGGCCTGTCTTCTGACGTGCCTCTGGGTGGATTTGAACCACCAATCATTTGGTTGTGGTTGAGTGCTTAACCGTTTGTGCTACCCAGGGACTCTGTGCCACAGATTACCTGGTCTAAAATATTCAGTTCTATAGATAGGCCATAGTATTCAACATATGGTTATGTTAACAGTTTTAAGAAAGACAATTCTAGAACAAAATATTATAAGCAAAAATATTTAGGTTATAACAGTTCTAGATTCCTTGTTTTCTACATATCTTTTTTGGTCAATTTGGTTACAATTCTAAATGAGCAAACAATTACCCTATAGAGGAACCTAACTAAACTTTAACATGATGCAAACTTCCTAAAGATGGTAACTTGAAAAATCTTAAAAGTGATTCCAATTACTTCTAATTAACATTTAAAATATGAAAAAAACCAACGACTCAAGAAAAACTTTCAAATCATTCAGTTCATCTTTAAAATTAGGCTAGCAAAACTGAAGATCCAAATTGCCTAATATTATGTCTCCGTAGTAGGTTTATCACTAGAGTTTTGATATGGAAACATAGGCTTGATGCTTCTAATGTGTAATTCTGACATAAAAACTACAATCCTTGGTTTCCAAACATCAAATTCAATTTTATATTATTTGGTACAGCAACTAAACAAAAATTCTTAAATCAGGGTGAAGACATGCAGTAGCCATAACTCCAAAATGGAAAAATTATATTTTTCCATAAAGATCCTATGAAATAAAAAACCAAAAGTGAGTAACAAAGTCCACATACAAACACTGTTTAAAAGTAGAGTGTTTGCCAAAAAGTGGAAACAACCCAATGTCTATCAAACAATGACTAGATAATTAAATGTGGTATAGCCACATGGAATATTATTCGGTAGTAAAAAGGAATGAAGTACTGATCCATGCTACAACATGAATTAAGCTTGAGAACATTATTCTAAGTGAAAGAAGCTAGTCATACAACGGACGAATGGATAAACAAATTATGGTATATCCACACAATGGAATACTACACAACCATAAAGAACAACAATGAAGCTGTGAAACATAACATGGAGGAATCTGGAGGGAATTATGCTGAGTGAATTTAGTCAGTCACAGAAGGACAAATATTGTATAAGACCACTATTATAAGAACTCAAGAAAAGGTTTAAACACAG